TTTAGGCCGCGGCCTATACAATAGGTGTCTTTGTTTATCCTGTATATCAAACAAAGACACCTATCGTATAGGTCGCGGACTAAGTGCACGATGTAAACGTAGCCATTATGCGCACAATAGCTCATCTCTTTCCACCATGGTTCATGACATGATCTGGGGTCGATTGTGTATCTCGAAAATTACAAAAATGAGCAAATTCACTAGAATACTCATAATTTAATTGGTCATAATTTAAGTGGTAATAACTAGTGAATTTGCTCACTTTTGTAATTTTCACCTCATTTCAAAATACGCAATCGACTCGCTGTTCTTTGTAGCTGCACTTTCTACACTCGAAAGTGATAGAATCACACCTACAAGCGTGAGAGGGAAAAAGAAAAACTGAAAAATATAAGAATTACAAGAGATCAATTTCAGCTCGAAAAGAACAGACCTAGTATTTCTTCCTTTCTTAAGTGAAGTAAAAGAGTAAAATAAATGCCATTTAATCGTTTTAAGACGATGTTCTCCCCTTAGCAGTTTATATGCATTTCGTGTGAAAGAGTACCTTCTCGTGTGAAAGAGAGAATACGTTCTACCTCTATTTTCTACAAGTTTTACGGACGTTAATCCCGTCTTTGTTACTTTTTATTGTATACTCCACTCGGAAATGGAAGACGTATGTATTTCCGATAAGTGAAAGAGGTTCACACAAAGCATCGAGAAATTTGACACTCTTTGATAAGAATTTTAAAAGACTCCTGGAGCACGAAATGGATGAGAAGCAAACAGAAAATCCGTAAGTTTCAAAGAAAGGCTCCACTAAAAGATCCTGTATAAATATATTTTTACGATTCTGTTCTTCTCTTTTAGTTTTCTTGGCGTTTATAAAAATTATCGCTGTTCTAATTCACTTGCAAATATTGAAATATATCAAGTCTTGAAAAGAATAAAAATTATTTTGTTAAGAAGAATTAAGAGCAGCCCTATTTTTCAGAATCTCCATAGATCATTTAGACAGTACTAATGTACCTGTGATAACAGCTGATTTAGAAATGCTTGCTATAGACATTAATCCTCCACCTACAGAAACCAAAAGGATTCTTAGGAAAAGGATGGCTAAACCTGTTTCTGTAGAAACAGATTCTACAGAAATAATTAAACGAAGGTAACAAATAATTTTATAATATTTGAAGCTTCCATTTTCTTCAAAGAAGTTGTGGGTTATTTCTGATATATCGTTAAATGCCAATGTTTCGTAAACATTGCAGTTTACTTCATCAGACTGATACTTTGTCACGTATCTAAGGATCGATTACATATTTTGAAATAATGTGAAAATTACAAAAAAGTGAACGAATTTACTACAATATTTATAATTTCATTAATTAGCCACTTAGTAGATTTACTCATCTTTATAATTTTCACCTTGTTTCAAGATAGACAATCAATCTCCAGCTTGTTTCTCGCTCTGATGAAATAAATTGCAGTGTTCACGAAACAAAACTTAATAATATATATCAAGATATAAAGAGATATAACTTGCAAATTGCTTAGCTTATTTGAAGATAATTTTATATTAGACTGTGATATATTTTATTAGATATGCATCTAATAATACTTTGTATATAAATAAGGTGTAGCCTGAAACCAAAAAAAAGAAGGATCTATGAGGTGGAGAGACAGGAAGAAATTGTCAAGGAATATTATTTAGACAAAAAGATAAATAAGAAATCAAATAATCTTGAAACAATATTTGAAGAAACCCAGAATTCGGATGACGATGCAGCAATACGTATGAGTGTGAAGCGATTTAAGAGAATGTTGATGTTTACCCCTACAGCTGCCAAGCTGAAAAAGAGACGTGCAAAAATACAAAGAGTCTTTGGGTCTAAAATCAGGTACAAGAGATGTGGTTCGATGCAGGCTCTTATAGATAAATTAAATACCATCAGAGAAAATTCACCAATGAAAATTGACAACGAACTCAAATGATACCAGATTCCTCGATGATTTAAATGCCATTCTTTTTTTAAGAAGATATCTGAAGATAACACGCTATGTATGTTTCAGGATTTCGCGAAAAAACTGTATCAGAATTATTTTATAATCATATTTAAGAGATAATATTTAGATGGAGACATTTATATTTCCATCTATTAAGAATGTTATACTATAAATATAAAATTTTCTGTGCAGGCATTTATTCGATTCTCGCATTGTAGATTTACATGTTTCGAACTATAAGGATGTAAGGACCATAATGTGTGATAATTATATTTCTATTTGCGTGTTTGAGATTTATCTCGCTTATATTAACAGCAATATATATCACATAAGAAGCAATAATATATCTTTTATTTCTTTAGGGCTGGACTTCCTCATTGTATCTACATTGAATTAAAAATAATTCAATGTAGATACAATGAAAAAATAATTCATTTTGATATGTCCTAAATTAGTATATCTTTTTGTTTCTGAAATCTTAATTCAAGCTATTAATGAGGAGACCAAAGCCTTCGGTACTGTTTGTACCATATATTGTATTTTAGTTTAGATTCAATTCAAAACTTATATACATACATATATTATTAAGTAATAATGGAAATATACATTTTTTCATAAATATATTGAATTATGTGTAATTTGTAATATAAACAACTTCTGTGAAGTGCGTAATATAAACAATTTTTTTTAATCACAATGTTGTTTTTAATATTAAAAATGGAAACAAAGACTGATCATTTAAAAATTTAAATACAAAACTTAATTATTTTATGGATAAAATTCAATCTTTTTTTTAATATCATGTTTCATCATGTATATCACATAATTATCATATATATTAAAATGAGATTTATAAATTGCATTTATTCTAAGATCAGTATATTGGTGATCGCGTATTTGTTATCTAGAATGTTATTGAGTTTTATGTAAAATCTTTTATTTGTACTCTCATAAAAGGCACTAATTGCAATGAATACAGAATTATACAAAAAATATGAAATTATGAAATATGATTACATAAAGTTAATATATTAAATCTATGTATTTTCACATTGATATTACATAAATATAAAATTTGAATATATCTTAAATTTGGTAGATAAAAACACTGTATAATATTTCCTCACATCACGTCTTATTCATCCTCAAAATGCATTTCGTCGCGGACTTATCACAGCCATCGTATTCTTTAAATCTAGCTTTATTTTCTTCGTATTCCTTGCTATCTAAGTTGACACAAGTGCACCTGGATAAACTTTGTGCAGTCTCGAAAAACATTCTCGGTACTCCCACCCAATCTCTATCAATTCCACCGCTGTTCAACAAAAATGAATCATATAACTACATATTTAAAGATTTATTTATCACGTTTCTTTAATTTTCCTTTAATATGAAAACAATGACTATTAAATAAATTCCTACCTTCTTTCAGTACACCAGAATACAGTACCAATATCTAGATTCCATTCTACATTACAAGGTGGGAACATTCTGTTCTGTGCATCTTCCAATGCTTTCTCCTTTTCAAGAAGTAATAGCTTTTCTTGTATCTTATAAAATTCTGCAGTTGGGCTACCATCTCGATTGTAGTATCTACCATATAATTTTCCTAAAGAAAATACAAAATACTTTAGAAAGTATCACATGCGAGTTGATCCACCTCATGCAATGTCTACAGAACATAAAACATTTTTTGTAGTATATATATAAAAAGAGATTAAAATATATACCTTTCCTTCCTTGCTGAGTAGATTGATAAAATATTATAAAATTATTTTGTGGCTTTTAGAGGATAAAGAAATTATTCTGAGATGGATCAACTGCTCCTATATCCCATGGCAGTTTAAATAATTGTACCTTTGTAAATATAGTTTGTTTTATAAAATTGTACCCAATCGTCCAATGTTTTGACTTGTCGCATCGATAAACTAGATATGTCGTCCGTTAAACCTTCATCATCAGATACTCCATCAAATGTTCCTGTACCAGTGATAAATGCCAAGGAAGCATCACGACCTATACAAATAAACAAAATTAATTATATATATATATTATACATATATAGTAGACGTTTAAATTTGACATAAGGAACCTAATTACCAATGAAAGCATGATAATTTCCTCCAGATCCGTAATGTTTTTCCCCTTTCGTTACATCGAAGACTTGACCTAAAATCGAAAGATACAAACCGTTCTCCAGATTTGTATATCGTTTCAATTCGCTTATAGTGAATATCTTTGACCCGTCAGAGTTTTCATTTAATCCAAAATATATCGTGTCAGCTAAATTTAATGTTCCTTCTATTAAGTGAGACTTGATCTTCTCATAAAAGCCGCGCGAACATAAGAAATACACAATCGCCAATAACAGTGATAGCCAAAAATATTTGGAAAACATAATTAGGTTGTTTACAAACGCTCGTGAATTTCAGCGTAGGTGGGCTACTCCGATTTCCAGTGATCTTCGATGATCTACCATGTTAGATTACAGAATTCTTTATTACCGGCCAGATATCTATCTGGAATATATTGCTGCTAAGATATATAAATATATTATAAGAAATGAGTTTTTAAAAATATTTTATCTTGTAGAGAATCAATATGCTTGAAAAATGTATTGTACAATTGAAATATTAGCTTAAACAAAACTGTCATAATTAAACTAAAATATTAGCCTAAATTATTATGATTATTTTCATTTGCAAGATGAAGTAAAATACAATTTGTAAGCATTCACATTTTATTTGTAAAATAATAACAATGCAAAAATTTTTATAGATTTAAAATGCTGTCTTAAATTTATACAACTTTTTGTAATCTGATATTCATTAAAGTTAGTACCTCTTTAATTAGTAAAAATACAAACAAAAAATGCAAAATTTTATGTAAAATTAATTATAAGAATATAATTCTATAAAAGTATACGATCAATGAATATTAATTATAGATTTACTCCATGAAGAATTACATTAGATAAGCAATTGATATATTGACTAATAAAGTTCAATAATAAAGAAAAGGTCAAGATTTAAAAAATGAAAGTAAATATTGATAAATTAATAGTTTAAATTTTATAAACATCAAAACCATGGAAATATTATCTGTATCGCTTCCATAAAACCAACATATACTTAATATGTATTCAGAATATCGAGTTGAAATTAATCAACAACACGTATATTGTTCAATTGATATATAGTTTTATAATCACATAATATAATTATAAGACACTCGGTGCCACGCGGTAAAATGAACGCGTAAATCGCAATATTTATGACAGATTCAATTAAACAAACGAAGGTATTACGAACGAAAAATAATTAATTCTCAGGTGTGTGGGCTCCCGGATCAAGAAGGTTGAATGAATAATTAAAGATATCATTCAAATAATTTTTCCTTCTATTTCTGCATTCCCATATTATAATAAAACTTGGTGATCGGTGAAAACAATTAACAGTATGTTTAGAAAATCAAAAACAGAATTTAAAAAGAATAAGAAAACAATTAAATCTGAAAAATTACCCAAAATTCGAACAAAAAAAGGAAAGATAATTTCTTTGCCAAACTTAACATATTTACTTCCAAAGTGATTAAATAGTACATCTAGTCCGTCAGAAATAAAAGTTTTTACATAAAATTATTTAATCGGATTCAAACTATCCAAAACTCGTTTTTTATACTTTAGACCGGCTTTCTGATCAAACAACTTCCAGGTTGTCACGAAACACACATTCGATCAGCTCGATTGCTTTATCTGACTGATAAGCGGCGCACACATACTTGAGTTTACTTGTTTCTGCTAGCTGATACTACGGTAACCATCGGTAGGCCAGGGTGATGGTGAATGACGTTTGAGAGATGTTGGAGGACGGTGGTCACGCTTGGTTAACCAAGACAATCGGGATCAACGGTCAGTCGTGCGCCAGCGTGTATCCTTGTTGCACCGGGAGTCGTGCACCCGCGACTTTCCTTGTGCTTTCTATCATTCGCGCGCCTCGCGTCATTTCGCTCCTCGCCGATACAGCATAAAGTGGTTTGTCCTCTATCGCGTCCCAGATTGAAGATTGTGACTATTGTGGCATGATCGATTTTCGTAATTAATAAGTGTTTTATTTCACTGCTTCGCGCGGCTCTTATTTCATTATTTGTCATTAAATGAATTTAACGGTGGTGTTTACATACGATTCATTGTGAAAAGTTAATGAGACGAGACGCTGAGGGAGTTAAATTTCTATGCTGCCCACGTCGTTGGAATAAAACTTTGTAAACGTCGCACAGATATGTGATTTCCTGAAGAACCTGTTTAATTAGATTTATAAATTGTAACTTTGCATTTTATAAAAGATAGCGCTCTAATAGCACACTTTATTCGAGGGACGTTCTGGCGAATGTTCTTAGGATATAGGGATATCTTCTGAATGTTCTTCGGAATGTCCCTTGGAGATCTATGCTATTAGGGCGATAAATTAATGTTAATAAAAGACAGGGATTTAAAAAAATTAAAGAAAAAGTTAAGGAAAGAGAACTATTTCTGCTGGAAAATCTTCTGGGAATTAATAGTATCTAATTTGATCAAAAAACGATCATATTTCTTCTTTAATTTCTTTTTCTCAGTAAAAATAGAAATAATGCAGTTTCATTCAAAGAAAAGAAACAGTTTCACATTTCTTTCCTATTTTCTGAATGCACTAACTGTTTTATGACACTTGAAAATTCACTCTGGCGGAAATAAAAGAGAGAGAATTGAAGTGTAAGTTATATAAATATAAGGGGAGAGAGTAACTGAAGCGTAAACGAAGTTTCTAGAAGGCGAAAATTGAGACAACGAAATGTAATCCAAGCAGAACAACAAGTCAAAATGACATTAAAATGAATCGGAAATGATTGAAAAACGACTTTTAATGATCATTTTGGAGTCATTTTGACATAATTTAATATCATAATGATTGTTGTTCTGCTTGGGAAAGGTAGGCGTTTACACTTCTGTTACTCTCCTCTTATAAGGTAATGTACCAGTTAATGGATATATGACCCAATTATTATTCAAAATGACAAAAATTTTTAATATTAAGCTTTTACTAATATGTACGACTCTAAATAAATTCGTTTTATTAAATTTTTATAAACAGCAAATTTATTTAGAGACGTATATCTCTGGCGGAAAAAAAATTTTTACGAAAAAGTACAGAAAAACTACGTCCCACTACAAATATCTATGAAAAACTAATAATTTAAGATCTAGTCTAAAAATCTAGTCTAAAAATCTAAGATCTTGTCTCAATTTATATACATTGAAAAAAAAGATTGGCTGCTGCAGCAAATTAGATGGTAAAATATGGCATAGCATTTTTAATTGGTTGCAGCAGTCAATTT